AATATCCCAATGTTCTCTGTCACAAACACCAAAATAGTGCAATAGTACACAGAAGTCTTCACGGCACCACCCACTAGTCCTTTGCGGGCATATGATGGTCCAAGTGCAGTCAATGTTCTTGTCAGTAATCTATCCCAAGAAAGATAGGATAGAAGAGGTCTACTTTTCGCAGATCGATATTGCTTATGACTGGTAACGTCTGATCGAACTTATGCAGGCTTACAAGCAACCAAATAGGAATAAATACTTTTTCACTTAAAAGATTGCCTTAGTGTTGAAGATTTAAATCTAATAAAAAGTGGATTAAAAAGAAAGAAAAAATTTATGTGGATTCAATGGGGTTCGAAAGCACGGACAAAAGTTAAGGAAAAAAATCGATTCTACTTTGCCATACCCCCTAGACATCCGCAGAGCTGAGGCGTCGTATGGACTTCGGACCTGACGGCGATTAAATCCTTCTGCCCTTGGGTGTACGAATTACGCAAGAAAATGTTCTAGCCGAAGCATCAGGGGAGAGACCAGCCGGCCCCCAGACCATATCGGCTAATCCCTTGCATCTCTGCCACGCACGGAATCGGTTGAAAATTTAATGTCAAAAAGTCTTGTYTATCTGGCGCATTGTTCTCACGGCTATTGTTATGCTGATTAATCTGCAACAGTGGTCCAGTGGAAAAACCTTGGGCTTCAATGATAAGTCAAGCCCGTTTCGGTGGGTTAGTATTTGGATGGGTGGCCTAAACATGATACATACTCAAACTAACTTTTGATCCTAAATTTCCTTAATCTTTCAAGCAAAACCTTATCTCTCAAGCAAATTAGAATGGGCTGAAATTTCTCTAAAAAAAGAATACTTTAAATTCATAAGAATTTCCGTTCAGTTGAGAAACTACTAACAAAACTTAAAAACTGCAGGTCATTTTCTAATCACTACGCGGAAGTAATATAATATTTAGTTTTTTGTTTTGTTTTGTTGATAGAAACTTGTAACTTTTAGATTAGGAGAAAGGGCGGTTTTAAAAGGATTTTAAAAAGTCGCTTCCCCATGGTCTCATGCTTAGTTATCCAGCGAAAGGGCCTCTTAAACCTCCTAATCAACTCCTAATCAACATTCGTCCATAACATTTCTTTTTATCGGTCTCATTTATAGATTTGCTTTTTTAGTTTTAAGTTAGCCTACACCAATGTTTTCCAATTGCAAAAGATTTTCTTCAATGGATGTGAAAAAGTCTCTGCCTTATGGTCTCATGCTTAGTTCATATCAAGTAAATGAATGTACCTTTTAAGGCTTCCATGAATCATACTCGTCCWTTAGGTTCCTTTTGAACTACTCTCTTTCTTTTTGTATTTGTTTTTGAAAGAAAACATTACTTTTCGATTACAAAAAAAATGTTTCAGGCTTGTAAAATATTTTCTTTTGTTGACTATATAGATAAAATGACACACAACAGACGAGGGAAGAATGGGTAAAAGTTGATTAAAACCTTCAAAGGTCCTTTCACTGAATGTCAACTTCATTCTACTACAATAATTAACATATGCCTTGATTTGGGAAAGTTGAAAGAGGCCAGTCCAAAGGCGTAAAAGCACAATCTGGTTTTTAAATTGCATGAATCCCAACAAATTTAGAAAGGGGTTTGGGCTCGCTGAGGTATCTTGGACTTCGCACCACAAGCAGTCCATACTTTTGAAAAGTCAATAACAAACACATAAATAGATATTTTTTAAAACTCAAATATCACTACTCACGTTTCTGTTTTCACTTGAATAGCATCGATGCATGGATATTGTACAGAATATCGTCGAACCATTGGATTAACGGACTTTCTCTTTTCTCCTTTGCGGTATCCGATGAAAACTGTATGAAGCTGTATTTTCTGTTTAAGCTTGTTATCTGGCATGACCACAGATAAGTAGTTTCAGAACGTCTTTTCTGATTTCTGTTTTGATAAAAAMGAAAAGAAATAAGTGGAATAAATGAGAAGATTCTACCTGAGAACCTTTTACAGTTTCCTTCTTTATAAAAGCCATTTCATAAATAAATTTTCTAAAAACAACTGCTTCAAAGTACTTTTTCTAGTAACGTTCATCTTGTCACTTTYWTTTGAAGTTAAAATACTAAAGCAATAATTATTCTCGATCCCACACTCCACCTAAGAAAACTCCAATCCAAKAAGKCAATCCAGATTGGGATTTTCCATAATWTTGGATTTTGAGGTTAAAAGTAACAAATTCGAAAAGAGCAAGCGAAATAGGTATTAATGKTGTAATTTGTTTTCTTTTTTTCTCAAAAAAACGTATGGCTTAATGAGGATCAAAATTATCGCACAAGCCACTTGTACGCCTTTACAACACACCTCCCCCTCCACTAGGGACTTGGCAGCCAAAAACTGACGGTAACTATGAAGATTAAAAGCGTTTTCTCYCAGCAAAGCCTGTCCAAACATGCTAAAATCCATTGCGGGATCTGTTTCATCTGCAACGTGACAATGATCTGAATATAATGGTGTCAATGAAATTCTAAGGACTATCCGAAGCACGATTTCTATAACTAGTATAGATAATCCGAATATTTYCTTATGATCCCCTTTGTTTGCRWTGCTCTAGWCGAATCTCAAAGTMGCCGCTAAGGTGTACTTCRCATGTAGCAACCATAAACTTCTGTCAACGAAGGAGTTTATTTTGTAGACAGCATCGTTGATTTCTTTATATTGCTGCTTATTACTCAATGTCTTTATCTAAAATCCWTAGTTCTTTTCTCTCAAGCTATCGCCTATTGTCTTTCTCTTTCACTTTTTTTGACATATATGTGTAAC